CCCCGGCTTATTTAACTTATATGCAGAATACATCATGTGAAAGGCTAGACTGGATGAATCCCAAGGCAGAATTAAGATTGCCGGAAGAAATATCAGCAACCTCAGATAGGCAGATGATGCCATTCTGATAGCAGAAAGTGAAGAGGAATTAAAGAACCTCTTAATGAGGGTGAAAGAGGAGAGCACCAAAAATTGTCTGAATCTCAACATCAAAAAAACTGAGATCATGGCCACTGGCCCCATCACCTCCTGGCAAATAGAAGGGGAAGATATGGAGGCAGTGACAGATTTTACTTTCTTGGGCTCCATGATCACTGCAGATGGTGACAGCAGCCATGAAATTAAAAGATGTCTGCTTCTTGGGAGGAAAGCAATGACAAACCTAGATAGCATCTTTAAAAGCAGAGACATCATCTTGCCAACAAAGGTCTGAAGAATTGATGATTTTGAATTGTGATGCTGGAGGAGATTCTTGAGAGTCCCCTGGACTGCGAGGAGAACAAACCTATCAATTCTGAAGGAAATCAATTCCAGGTGCTCACTGGAAGGACAGGTCCTGAATCTGAGGCTCCAATACTTTGGCCATCTCATGAGAAGAGAAAACTCCTTGGAAAAGCCCCTGATGTTGGGAAAGTGTGGAGGCAAGAGGAGAAGGTGACAACAGAGGACGAGATGGCTGGACAGTGTCATCGAAGCTACCAACATGAATCTGACCAAACTCCGGGAGGCAGTGGAAGACAGGAGGGCCTGGCGTGCTCTGGTCCATGGGGTCACGAAGAGTTAGACATGACTTAATGACTAAACAACAGAAACATAATCACTTGATGTTGTTATCTTCATTCCACAAGTCCCACAATGCCGTTTCTGTTTAATTTATTTTATTTGGCTCTTTGAATATATTCTACTAATAGAAATATATTTATTGATTCAATAAAATGGGTCTTATCCCTTAGTATATTTTGCAATTCGTTTTTCTTGGTGCACGGCATGGAAGTTCAGCTCTGCTCCATATGTTTGGTTCAGTCCTAGCATATATTTAAGGACCCCTATATCCATTGGGGATTGGTTCCAAGCACCCTGTGGATACTGAAAACCGTGGATAATAGTAATCTCTCTTTGTGTGTGTCTGTGTCTGTATGTTGCATGATAGAAAGAACTTCACTTGTCAGTGAAGAATACATAACACAGTCTCACTAGTGGCCACCCTCTAGTGACCAGTTCTGGCAATGCATGTGAAAATCATTTTTTTCTATTTTTTCCCCTTTTGCCATGCCATATTATCCAATTTATGCAGCAGAGCTGAACTTTCATGCTGTGCATCATGAAAGGCGAACTGCCAAAAAATATTTCAGTAGGAATGATAAAATGAAGACACCTAAATACAGATTCAAGATTTGCCCTTTCTGTGTCCATTTTGGTTTAGCAAATAGCTATTTCTTTCTATTTCCAATTTAATCTGTCCAGCAACAGAGATGCCATCAATTTTTGGCAGTGCGGAGTGAAAAATCTATTCTGGCTCTATTTCTTGTTGAGTTTTTGGATTTTGCCTTTTTTTTCCATCTTGTCTCGCATCGACAAGAAAGTGAGAAGAGAATTTCAGAGCCAGGTAGCAGCAGATGGAGTTGACAGAAGGAGGAACATATCTGTGCATATACACATATATTTATATTACATGAGCTGGCGCACAACACCAAATAAGACCGAACTTGGTACCCTAATAACTCCAGCAACTGTCTCTATGGTAACGTAAGCAGACATGTAACTCTGGCAAGTCACAGTTAATGAAAACCTTTGGGATGCTAGCTGTTTAATTGTCTTTCTCTTATTTCATCTTTGTTTCTTTCTCTCCTCCCCTCCCCCATTTTTTGAGGTTGCTTTAAAAAATAATTGGTATTTAACTAAATGTACTAAAGAAGCTATAATTGTAGCTGCCAAACCCCAAATCCTCACATGAACCTCAAAGCCCAGGAAAAGAGGATGTGTGAGTGTCAGTGCAGGCAAAAGACTGTGAGTGGGAGGGAGGCAAAAATATTAGTGGGGGGAGGAAAGAAAAAGGCGATTTCACACGTCATTAAACTGGTTCATGCTTGATAGACCAGGCCCCAAAAATCACCCATTTTTATCACTCAAGTCATGAAACCCTTTGTTCTCCTTCCACCCCACATAATTAGAGGAAGACTTCAATCCCACACCAGTTTGACAAAGGGCAAGTCCACGCTAGAGGACCTGCCAATTTTCAAACATTTACTGGATGTGGGTCTCTCTTCCTCCCATTTGTCTTTGGCATCAGAAGTTGAGGCCCTTATGCTTGCTTAAAGGTAACAAGTCTTGCAGTGTGCATTTATTTACTTGGTTTAAAGAAAAGACTGTATTTTAGACACAATATATGGTTAACACCTTTGTTCTGGGGGGGTCACTAGCCTATTAATCAAAGGAAAGACAACAAAGGACATTATAACACTTCCTAAGGCAAGGCCAGCCCTTCCATTAGACAGACTGAGGCAGGACGTTGAGATATCATGGAAAGAGAGCATATTATAGTATACTGTAGATATTGTAGTATTGGATGTGGACATGCTTGCAAGATATTCTGCCTCATGTGCCAAAATAATTAGGCATCCTTTAAGTATTGTACACTTTGCTGGAGAGAGGATTAGCTGGGCTACTTCAGGCAGCAAAATGGCTTCGGCCAGTCTTCTAAAAGTCAATACTGAATTTTGTGACAGATGGTTTTGTGGCCTAGAATCCACTTTTCACTTTTATTTTCTGTTAGTGTTGATATAAGCAGTGAGGCCAAAAGGAAATGAAATGCATTTTTCTAACATTCCTATCAAATCTTGTCAACAAACAACTTTTGCCAGACTTGCTGAAAAGGAAATACTCTAAATAAGCATAAGTTTGTATTTTAAACTTAAATCATAGCAAAATGAAATGGAGGTTAATCTGGTTGCCCTAAGAATAAGACTAATTTTGTTAATAGGAAAGAAAAATATATTTTAAAAGTAAATAAAAGTAAAATAGGCATCCATAGTTAAGATCATGCTCAGCTGCTTGTTCTCTGACTATAAAACAGTTTTAAAATTAAGAAAGGGTGCTGTAATAACCAGCATCATCCCTGTTGAGCAGCTCCTGCTGCCCTGCCATCATCTGCTATTTTATATGCAATCTCTTCAAGGATTTCAGCCCTGATATTTAAATGTCACTGCATCACAAACATTTTTAGATCCTCCCTCCCCAAACCGGAGACACTTATGGTGGGCTGTGTTTCAGTTCAGTCCGATGCTTTTCTGATAATGCAGGAAGACAGACCATTGTTTTCAGTCAGCGGAATGCACTGGAAACTTAAGGATCAGAAACAAAGAAAAAGCAGCAACCAGAGGGTTAAGCTGTCCTTGGTGATTTTAAGCAGCCAGCAGGTGCAGATAGAGTCACTGACTGTGCACAGCAAATTAACTGCCCAGAATACTTTGGGTGTAAAGAGGAGCTACCAGGATATGAATCTTGCTTTAACAGCTGGGAAGAGCTTCTGAATTTTCCCCCTAAACCACTGTCATCTTCTATGTCAAAGGGACAGTTTTGTTGAGCTTTTTTCTTTCGCAGCCAAGTGAGACGGAGAGCTCAGATTAATGAGGTTTCAGATAATTTCCACTCCCCATGGATGTACTGCAGTATGTGTGCCTTAAATATTTGCTGTTCATTCTCTCTCCCCCCCCACTCCATTTCAAAACTAGAAGTGTGAAACTGTTGAGGAGCAGGCCACATTCTTCCAGGAACTTTTTAAAAAGCCTGGAGACTCCTAGCAAGAGCTTGGGTTCAGAAGCTTGAGACAGATTTTCTACATAAAGACCCAAGTGCTTTTGTGCTACTGCCTCTGAAAGTTTTTTGAAAGAATACCAACATGTTATAGTGAAGGTACGGTGAGCAGTGATTTTTCTTTCTGGTCATGAGTTCTCCATAAAAAGGTCTCTACAGTATTCTAGAGTCATCTGCAAAAGCTGGCTTGTGAGCCACTGAGGACAAAATAAAATCCAATACTCTTGCCCATAGCTGTTAGTCAAGCAGTATAGACACAATCAAGCCAGGGTCTTCTTTTCAACTTGCCTGGGAGCAGAAGATGCTCAAGAAATGGGCTTGGTTCCAGATTTAGTCACATTTAGAGTATTGTTTATGTTTATATCCCATTTTTCCAATACAAATAGCTCTCAAAGCAACTTAGAAACAGAATAAAAAATGTTATTCCCATTGACATCCGTGGACTTTTCATTTGAACTATATGTGACTAACCGAAACCTCTCCAGCCACAAAAGGTCCTTTCTGACGACCTCTGAAGTTCACCTACCTCACCAAATGCAACCCTTAACTCACCAGGCTAAGTTGCAAATGAGCTCCAGCTGGAGTCCTCTTTATTTTGGTTCTTTCCCTCCTCTTTTTCCCTCTGGCCACTTTAATTTCCAAGCAGCATCACCTGATCTTTCTCTCCTGGAATAGCTTTCTCTCTTAAGACCCTGTTTCCTGGGTGTTTGGGGTCTCTCTTTTTCCTCCTCCCCTTTATTCTTTGCCCTGGCTTTGAAACTGAGTTTGGTGTGGATGGCAGAATAGGTCAAACCAATTTTCCAGAGTAATTGGTTAAAGAGACTCTATCAAATCCAGGTAAGCTGGAAGAGCTTGTACACAACTAGTGGGGCTGGAGTTGTGTTGAAAACTTGGCATGGAGAGGTGCTTTTATGTACTGTACCTGCAAAATGCTTCTTCTTCACAAATCATTAGTTATCTGTCCGTCTGTATCTGGGAATGAGGTGGGAGCTTTGGCATCCTGAGGGCCCATTTTCTAGGGCTACACTCTTTGTTGTTGTTGTTGGAAACAAAGCAAAAATGTGAAAGAAGCTGAAAACGGGGTGTGGGCCTTGTGCAAAGTAAAGGAGAGAAAGACTAAGACAAACGATGGAATTTTGCAGAGGAGCTTTGTTAGCTGAAATATTTGAATGTGAACATGGTGCAAACAGTGATGATACAGAAGGAATTACTCTTAAGGGTCCTCTCTACTGTGAAGGTGAATTGGGGTTCCTGCGCTCTGAATAGTTTCTTGGGACTCCTATAGTATTTCCTCAATTTACGGGGCATGGAGTCTTGAATTGACTTAAGGCATGATATGCACCCGATGCTTACAGAGGTTCTGTGATCTTATTGGGCTGCTTCTGAAGTCCTATTTCCCAAACTTGAGAACCTGGATGTTTCCAGATTCCCATTCCTAGAAGCCTTAGCCAGCCTGACTAATGGCCAGAACCTTTAGGACTTGCAGCCCATGAACATGTGCAAAGCCAAGAAAAAGAAACAAAAGAGCTGTTTATACACCACCGTATAGTGCTTAAAACTCTTTCTGGGTAGTTTACAATTATGTAGGCTACACATTGCCCCTCCCACCGACTCCCACAAGTGAACTGGGTACTTGGTTTAACCAACCTTGGAATGATGTAGGGCTCTGTCAACCTTGAGCCAGCTACCTGAGCTTATGATTGAACTCAGGTTGTGTGCAGAGTTTTCACGGCCATACTGTGGTTTAACCACTGCACCATCAGGCTCTTGTGGGTCTCCACCTTCAAGAGCCACTGCTTCAAGGAACTACTTTTGCCTGGCATTTTGCAAGTCATTGGCTGTGTTTGTGAAACCTTTTCTCATTCATCCTGCTCCTCAGATGAAGTGCTCGGTTCTCGTGCCACCCCACAATGGCCTTGAGGTTTGACTCCCAGCTGAAATGTAGCACGCCAGTTCCAGTCCAAGGGGGGCCATTCTCTCCTCTCCATTTTTTCCCCCGGCCAAGCAGATCTTTTCCCCTGCTGAGCCAAGAGGAGCTGCTGGAAACTTTGGATGGGTAAGCAACATAAGCTTAACGATTCCTCTGCTGTATAATCCCTGGTTTTGTTTTTAAAGGAGACAGTTCTCCCAGATACAGTTGGATGTGACAAAAAGCACTGATGTAGTGAAGCCAGAGATCACAAGGCTGGAAACCAGAGATTTTTTGAGTAACATGGACTGCAACATCCCTGTTGCCCCCCCCTCAAGCTTTCCTTTCCCTATGTGCTTAGCTACAGCTGGGAATTATGGTCCAAAATATAACTTTCCTAGTGCATGCCAGTGCTAGTAAGATTATGGGATCAGCTCAATCCAGCTTCTCTCTGTGTTCTTTGGATACAGCTGGCAAGTGATCACACCGATCATGAGAAATAACACGTGGACCATTAGACCAAACTTTGATCTAATGACATTTGTTAGTTATAAATAGCGGCATATTAAAAGAGCAGTAGGGGCCATTATCCTGTGCCATCCTCTGGAGCTTTTTTCTCTCCCCACACAGAAGCATCTCAGAAATATGGGACCATTTGGTATTTATGTTAGGATAGTGCAGGAAGTTAATGATGAGTTTATGGGTATTAAATCAGTAATTACTCTGGTAATTCATATTTGGTTAAAAACTTAAATTCATTGCATCAGGAAATCTGAGTCTGGGCTTGCCTCTTAAGAAAGGCAACATAGCTGATTCACGTGTGCCAAACATAATTCCCACATTTAAAAAAAAAATAAAGGTAAACATATATGGGCGAACCAGTCTCAACTAAACCAGATCTGGACCCTCTTCAAATCCAGTTGTTTAAAGGATTTGGGATACAATAGCCCACCCCATTAAAGAATTCAAGCTCATTAATGAACTCTGGTTTAGCTCCACTAATTGATCTGGGAGAATCCAGCTGGGAAAAATAGGAAGGAAAAAATGTAAAATAAAGTAGTGAAGGCTTTTGAGTATGTGTCTGTGTAAGGCATAAAAACAAAGACAGTAAGGGAGGTGTAGACTTAGTGTTACTTGTTTCTGCATAGGGGGGCTGGTATTATTTATTTTTTAATCGTAAACTGAAAATTCTTTGCCCAAACATCTCCAAATTTGCCACAGAGCAAGAACCAACTGTTGGTTACATCTGTGCCGAAACTAGTGCTGAGCTGAAGTCCAGATTCAAAGTTAACATTTTTTACTTGAGCTGCTCCCATTTTTAGAATTGCCTCGTAGAATGTAATTTGCTCAGCTGCACAATAACATAGCTGCACAGTACAATGTGTTGTGTAGTGTTATTCCATAGGCAGACTATTCCATAGGTTGGTAGTCCAGTCCAGTCCGCAAACCTATTGTCCTGCATATATTTTTGTGCAAAAAAAAAAAACCCAAACACTAGGATCTAATTAGCAAGTGTCACTCTGTGTGAATGAGAATGAATGAATTTGTCTTGTGTTCTTGTCTTCCTGGCAGGAGCCCTTACGACTTGAATGACATCAGCCCAGGCCTGTTTGAGAGCAGTGACTCCTCCATGCCAGATTTGCAGCTAGTCAGAAAGATAGTCTCTCAGGTGGAGTTCTATCTCTCTGATGACAACTTGGCCAAAGATGCCTTTCTTCTAAAGCATGTGCAGAAGAACAAAATGGGGTTTGTGAGCATTAAACTCCTGACCTCTTTCAAAAAGGTGGGCAATAACTTTGTTCCTTTGTGGGTCCCTTTTCTTCTTAAAGTTTGGCTAAATTGCTGAACTCCCACAATCCTCCAGCCAGTACTGCTTGTCTCAATGGTGGTTGGGAAGATTTCCTTTTCCTCACAGGAACAGATTGGCAATCAAGAGAAGTGAACAAGCATTCGTGATTCTGAGGAAAAAATGAATTTAACCAACTACTTTATTTTTAAATCAGTTTTCATACAAACTGAAAACGGCTTTCAGTTTTCTCATAGTTGCTATAAGATTGTTTCCTGGCGGTCAAATAAATGTGGACCTAACTGTGGCAATAGCTCCAAAGGAATTGGAAGCGAGCCAGATACATTTAGTTGAAATAACTCACATTTACTTCAGTTAATGACTGGGATACACAGTGAGTTTGTCTCAAAGCCAGATCAGAGCAAAGACCTTCCTGACTTCTTCAGACACATCGTTCTGAGTCTGAAAAAGTTACTTTTAGGTAACTTTGTTTGTTATGCAGCTCTCTAAATTCTGGAAATTATAAGCCCCTTAAAAATGTTCCTACAAGATTGCTGGGGAAAGTTCACATCCAGTTTGTGTCAGCCCACTTAAGGTAGAAAGATTCCTCCAATTTATTTATGGGTCATAGATAAGAATCACAAAAATAAGTAGTGATCTCCCTTGAGATCACTAAAACTTTAGTGATCTCAAGGGATTTTTCAGATATTACTGGCATAGCACTTTCAACCAACTTGTGTTGGCTTGAGCAAAGCAAGTTGGTTGAAGTGCAAAATGTGTGTTGTCCCTCCTGTTAAAAGAAGACAATCTCTTACACATCTGTTCCTTCCTTAGAAAAGCAAGTTATCATTGAGGAACTGTAATGAATTCTCACCTCAGGTGAGGTACCCTTTCTTTCTTTTTTTTAAAAGAGCATTAAAACTCTTCCTCCTTTTAAAATAACTAGGTGAAATATTTAACAAGAGATTGGCGGGTGACCCTCTATGCTCTGCAGTTCTCAGAGAAGCTGGAAGTCAACGAAGAAGGGACAAAGGTGAGGAGGAAGACTCCCATTCCAGAGTATCTGGTGAATATCCCTCCAAGCAAAATGCTGTTGGCCTGGAATGTCCTTCCTTATGAGCAAATGGTTCCAGGGTCACTCCTGTTCCAGACCACCTTTCTTGACAAGGTCACCAAGCTTTTTGGGCCCTTTGGAGATATCACCTCCATACGCATCCTGAGGCCTGGCAAGAAGCTCCCTTCAGATGTAAAGAAGTATTCATCACGGTACCCAGAGCTTTTGACCAAGTGTTGTGCCTTGATAGAGTACGAGAGTTTGGAGAGCGCTCGGAAAGCTTTTGAGGAGCTTGGGCACAACAACCAGGCCTCTTCCTCTGGAGAAACTATCAAAGTGGTCAGCCTTTCTGGGAGAGGTTCCAAGAAGAAGAGTGTGGCCAGCCAGGAAGATAGTGAGGAGACTGAGGAGATGGAGAAGCCTGCTAGAAAGTGGACAGACATGTTGCCAGAAGGCCTCCAGCATGCCCTGGAAGACTCCTTCTTCTATAGCTCATCCACAGAGTCAGACAGCACCCCGGTTTCTACACCCATCCTGCCTCGGAACTTCCTCTCTGCTCCAGTCTGGCCCACCACCAGATTCTGTAGCTCAGCTGGCCAGGGCTTCAAACCAAATTTCTTCAGCATCCCATATGCTGGCCCTCTGCCACTGCACAAGTCACTGGCTTGGCCCTTTTACCCTCCACCTCTCTCTGTACCCAAGCTGGGCAATGGTACTCCAGAATTACAAAAGCCATCTGATTCCTGCTGGGATAGTGGGATCAGTAGTGGGAATGTGTGGATACCCAAGCGGCGTGGACCAGCTTGCAGTCAACTCCTTCCACAGAAAACTGAGCACCCGAGCCCAGTGGCTGTGACCAAACGGATGTCTGAATCACATGGAATCCGTCCAGAAGTGATCCGCCTTCCACAAGGGCCAGATGGCACTCGGGGCTTTTACAATACCATTGGAAGGGGGAAATTTGTCTTGAGGCACTAAGCTTTTCTGTCCTTTATGAGGGGTGGCAACCTTATATGGGGGAGCTAGGTCTGCATACCATTTCTGTAGAGGGGGGTGTTTCATATCCTGTGGATCCAGGAGTCTGACCTATCAGAAGAGTAGTGCTGTAAGAAGATTTCTATGGAGGCTGATCTATACTAAATACAACACAGATTTGTTTTTTATCTCCTTCAGTTTGCTTTTTCTGCTTCGGGCTGTCTGAACAGATTCTACCTTAGCATATCCCAAGTTAGTTTTCCATCCTATACTACTGCTCATAATACTGAAATATGTCTGTCTGGATGAGCAGATGCAACATTGTGAATCTCTGTTGCCCTCACCCCTTTTCCTTTTTTCCCCCCTTTTCTTATTTTGGAACTTGACCTTTGGAATTGACAACATAGTACTAGGAATATGAAGTATGAATGGTTAAATATAAAAATGAAGGCAGAGTTGTGAATCACTAGATTTGGAATGCTTGTGTTGTATAGCTGTGAGAGATAGAGACTGGATCTGCTGCAGTTAAAAACATGCAATAAAAAAATATAGAGCCATTCCAAAGATCTCTGTCTGTACTGCTGGTTTGCTTTCTTGTCCTCTGAGGGGAAAGCTGTGGAGAGTGCTGACAAACCAAGATTAGCTGAGGTGTTCTGTTTCCTACATTCCTGACCAACCATTAAACCAAGGCTAAGAGAATCAAACTCTGTTGGAGTAGAACATCACCTCCTTCATAATTGTGGCCCCCTCAATACTCATTTGTCCAAGGCTCAGTGTTAGAAAGAATTAGGGACAGGCCATGTATTTCAGGATTACACACATGCAAGTGTAAGGTGATACCTTTATTGAACTACATTTTTTAAAAAAAAGACAAAACAAATTGCAGGCTTTCATTGTAAAATCCCACTTCCTGAGAAGGTGATACCTTTATTGAACTACATTTTTTTTTAAAAAAAAGTCAAACAAATTGCAGGCTTTCGTTGTAAAATCCCACTTCCTAAGGCTGGGCACCACCCCTTCATGGATAGTGAAAAAAAAAAAAGTAGGTCAGAGACCAAAAAATTAGTGGCAGATGCTTGTGCTGAGTTTGCTTATATCCTAAACGCCTTACAACTTCTTAGTTCACCCAACCAGATTTTGTCAGGATATTTTTAAATAAATGCAGATATAGAATGAGAAGGGTTATGCTTCATCTAAAGATATGATGATTATGAAGGACATCCCAGTGTTGGCCATCATCCTGAAGTGAACCAGAAACAGTTGTCAGTCAAGCCAGAGAATACTTTTTCAAAACTATTTACACTGTGTTTCCACCACACATTTCAAGTCACACAAATATTACACAAATTAGTTCCAATCTATTGTATCATAGATTTACAGGGCTGAGGTTACCTTCATTGCACTCTGTACCCAAGCAGTTCAACCATCAGTCATGGTTTATAGACTCTTAGTTCCCCCTCATGAATGTCATTAGCAGGTGGTCAGTTTCTGAAATTGTCTCTTGTGATACTAGCAGTGCAATGGGATTGGAGAGTTACCACAGCTGGGTCCTCTTCCTTTCTTTCAGGAGCAACGTCCAGCCCAACTTTAACCCCACCGAATTGTCTCTAGCCATACTTCTAGTCAATTCATCTCCTCAGTAGGGAATTTGGGAGGATGTAGCCCAAAGGATCACTTCCTTCTGGAGCAACATATCCAAGATACGCAGTGGTATCTGACTCGCTCCCAGTCCACTCTGGATTATCAACCTATTTATCCATCTCACTTTCCTCCTCTTTCTCCCTGCTGACAACTCCAAGGTCATCTTTCTTTTCTGCCTGGGTCAACTGGCTCCTTTATATCCTCCTTTTGGCAGAAAAACTCCATGGTGGCTTTCCTTCCCTCTTCTTCATAATCCATCCAGCCTCTTGGTCCAGGAGAAGAGGCTGCCTCCAGGTAATGCCCTGGAGAAGAGATCCATTTTGTGCCTATCATATATCCATGGCGAGGGCCCATGGGACGTGAAGGCAAACCCTTCCTGCGGACCAAAGCTTATCTGCTTACAGAGAGTTACCAAGTGCCAGAGGACGGCTGAAATCTGAGGTAAGTGCTATAGTTTTCCAGGTCTCCATACAGAGAGACAGATCTGAGACTGTGTAACCTGGGAGGAGGAAAGCATCTACAGTTTGCATGTGAGGTGGATTTGATGCCTTTGCATGCCTATCCACCACATTCCCAGCTGGTGCCATGACTCATGGGCTAAGCATGAAGCTGCTTGTGTTTCTGTTGCTTCACATGGCATGGCATAGTGGGTCAAGTGCATGCTTCCATCAGCTTTCTCTCTATTCCTCTCCCCTCTGTGCTTTTTGTTGGGCCCACCATGTAGAGCACCAACATTGTGACTAATGAGTCTTGTTGCACAAGTCCAGGCAGCAAATGTGGAAAGCCTGAAAAGGCACTTTCCCCTCTAAACCTTTGCCTGTCCTGTCTCTATGACATCAGAAATGCTAACCTACCCCCATTGTTTTAATTTCTGGATCTGAAATGCAGGAGATTTGGATGCTGCTCACAATGCTCTGCAACTAACGCATGTACGGATAGGTGGGTGGATACTTAGTGGAATCACAGCAAGGCTGGAAGGAGAATTTAGCCATTTTCTTCCCTGCTATAGTCTAGGGGACCTACTATAGTGTAGAGAAGAAAAGAGTTCTGTGGAGCTGGAATTTCTATTTGAAGGAAATCTCCCACTGGTGACAAGGGTGGGTGGAATTAAGCCAAGTACTTGGGAAGGAGGTAAATCAGGAGGCTTAGACCTGCACCACTACCAGGCTTCATGGAGGCATGTAATGTATTTCTGTACACACCTGCCCCAAAGCAAAACTATCAATAAAGACTGTATTGCCAAGTCATATGAGAGCATCTGAAGTAGGACCAAGGGAACAAAATTCAATTTTTGCAAATGCACACCGTGTCTCTGGTGAAATACAGTGAGATTCAGCTTTCCTTTCAATTGGCTAAATTCTCCACATCTTGGGTTATTCAGCCTGCTGCTCTATCCATGTGGACTTCAGTTGCCCATTTTAAATGGAGCAGCAGCATTGGATACAGAAAAGGTACAATGCAGCAACCAAAAGGCCTTATCTATGTAGCCAGGGCAATTATTGTTTTATGTAATGGTAAATGACTTCCTTTTATTAACACACTGTTCCTTCAAGGAAGCAGTCATTGTAATGACACCATCCCAGGAAATCCCTCGTTTGTGAGTTATTATTCTAGTAATAACATACACTAAAGTTGCAATCCAAAGAGCTACCCAAGTGTCTATGAGACTCACAATGGTTTTTTTTTTTTAAAAAAAAAAGCTTTCGTCTTGCCTCCTTGCCAGACTATGGAACATTCTCACTCCTGCTTTAAAAAAATAGCTTGGAAGTATGGTGTGGGGTAGTGCTGAGGGCTTGTGTTTTGAGAAACAGTAAATCCACAGTGTTGTTAGGTTGTTTTTTTACACACTTGAACCAACTGCAGTTTAATGTTCCCTGGTTTAAATCTTTCATTGCTGTTGCTATCATTTTAACTGAAACTTTTTTGTGTGCTTATGTAGCTAAAGCAATAAAATGTTAGAAGAGACAAGAGCAGATGTGGGGTAATCTTGAAGGTTGCAGATAGGTTTTAAAAATAAGTGATGCAGGACAAAGTCTCCAAAATAGTCCCTGAAGAAACTAAAAGCACAGGTAGAATTAAACTACAAATTACAGGTATCTTAAATATATAGTTTGGACCTAAACGTGGTTGGGTTGGGATATTGCCCTCCAGATGTTGTTGAACTGCAACTTCTGACTTCCCTCGCCATCGCTATGCTCACCAGGGGTTTCTGGGAGTTGCAGCACAGGCTTCTGTGGTTTAGCCCGCAGCGCCACCACCTCCCTATCTTAAATATATACTTTGGACCTAAATGTGGTTGGGTTGGGATGCTGCCCTCCAGATGTTGTTGAACTGCAACTTCTGACTTCCCTCGCCATCGCTATGCTCACCAGGGGTTTCTGGGAGTTATAGTTCAAAAAAGTAATGTTTCCAACCTCTGGCTATGACTGATGGGAGTCATAGTCAAACAATACCTGAAAGGCTACAGACCAAACATCTCAGAACTAAATATCATTTATTTATTTGTAAGGAGTTTTACAGGAGCCTGATCTGAATTGAGTCTATGCTGCATGGATAATGGACTTAAACTGTCCCCCTCTCCAAAACTGGCCTCTGCAAATGTGGCCCTTAAAAATGATCTTCCATTGACACCCATGAAGGCTTTTTGTCTTATACCACTATCACATGTGTTGCGTAGGAGGCAAACTAGGGGGAACAGAATGGCTTTCACATAAAAGTCTGCTATCCTGCATTTCTGCTCCTCTCTGAGATGAGGACAAGAAAGCCTGTATGTGGAAAGGTGGAGTAAAACCATTGCGAGAGAATATATCTGAGACAAGTCTTGCTATTTTTAGGCTGGAATACATCCAAACAGAAACTATAGCAATTAAAATAAGCTTCCCAGTTTCCAGTAAGCATGATAGTAGGTGCACGCACGCCCCCCCCCACAAAATGACTATCTTCCAAAGACAAGGAGAAAAATAGGAAATTATTTGTAGCATTTCCCCCCTTTAAAATATTGGCATAAATTTGCATCTACTGAAATAAGCTTTCTTGGAGAAGGGAAAGGAGCTGGCAAGGAACATGGGACAGTGGCTGCAGCGATTTCAGAAAAAGAGAGCATGAGTGACGGGAAGAAGATGTGACTTTGCATGCCGATTCCGAAAATATGGAAGGCAAACCAGTCCCTGGCATTGCAAGTCGAAAAGGCAGCAGGAAGCCCCAACCCAAGTCGGACAGCTGCTGCCAACTGGAACATAGTTTAGCACATACATACATACATACATACAATCCATGAACCATTTTCCTGATGATAAGGATGTGTCTAGACATGGAGAAAAAACGGAAGATGTGACTTTGCATGCCGATTCCGAAAATATGGAAGGCAAACCAGTCCCTGGCATTGCAAGTCGAAAAGGCAGCAGGAAGCCCCAACCCAAGTCGGACAGCTGCTGCCAACTGGAACATAGTTTAGCCCAATAAAGCAGTGTCCCCAGGCAGATTGTCTTAAGGCTGAGTATGGAAAGCCTCAACGATGCAATCCATGAACCATTTCTTTGCATGCCGATTCCGAAAATATGGAAGGCAAACCAGTCCCTGGCATTGCAAGTCGAAAAGGCAGCAGGAAGCCCCAACCCAAGTCGGACAGCTGCTGCCAACTGGAACATAGTTTAGCCCAATAAAGCAGTGTCCCCAGGCAGATTGTCTTAAGGCTGAGTATGGAAAGCCTCAACGATGCAATCCATGAACCATTTCCCTGATGATAAGGATGTGACTGCACAGTGGAGAAAAAATACAAATAGGTCTGCTGTCAAATTACACTCAGGATGTTGGGCTTCCCTAAATGAATTCACTTCTGCCAACCACACAGGAGTCAGCAGAGAGAGAGAGGAGGAAATTGTGAATCTGCACTTGTTATTTCTCAGTGTAGTTGCCCCCTAAGCTC